CTACGGTGAACCGGCTGTAACCCCCATAAACTATGGTGAGGCTGTAAACCCCATAGACTACGGTGAACAGGCTGTAAGCCCCATAGACTATGGTGAGGCTGTAAACCCCATAGACTACGGTGAACAGGCTGTAAGCCCCATAGACTATGGTGAGGCTGTAAACCCTATAGACTATGATGAACAGGCTGTAACCCCCGTAGACTATGGTGAACAGGCTGTAAGCCCCATAGACTATGGTGAACAGGCTGTAAGCCCCATAGACTATGGTGAACAGGCTGTAAGCCCCATAGACTATGGTGAACAGGCTGTAAGCCCCATAGACTATGGTGAACAGGCTGTAGGCCCCATAGACTATGGTGAACGGGCTGTAAGCCCCATAGACTATGGTGAACCGGCTGTAAGCCCCATAGAATATGTTGAACCGGCTGTAACCCCCATAGACTATGGTGAACAGGCTGTAAGCCCCATAGAATATGGTCAACCGGCTGTAACCCCCATGGACTATGGTGAACAGGCTGTAAGCCCCATAGACTATGGTGAACCGGCTGTAAGCCCCATAGAATATGGTCAACCGGCTGTAACCCCCATAGACTATGGTGAACAGGCTGTAAGCCCCATAGACTATGGTGAACAGGCTGTAACCCCCGTAGACTATGGTGAACAGGCTGTAACCCCCATAGACTATGGTGAACAGGCTGTAAGCCCCATAGACTATGGTGAACAGGCTGTAGGCCCCATAGACTATGGTGAACAGGCTGTAACCCCCATAGACTATGGTGAACAGGCTGTAAGCCCCATAGACTATGGTGAACAGGCTGTAGGCCCCATAGACTATGGTGAACAGGCTGTAAGCCCCATAGGTGAACAGGCTGTAAGCCCCATAGACTACGGTGAACACGAACAGGCTGTAAGCCCCATAGACTATGGGGAACAGGCTGTAAGCCCCATAGACTATGGTGAGGCTGTAAACCCCATAGACTACGAGGCCCGTGGGAGGAGTCAGTCCTTACAAGACCGGATTAATCGATACGATGTTCCCGCCAAAAAAGGCATCTGCCACTTTTGCCGCGTAGTTTGTCTTTGTAGGCTGCAATCACTCCGGCATAAACCTCCAGAGCCATAAACCTGATTTATTGTCGCTCGGTGGAATCACATATTGTTGCGATTTCCCAACAGAAGCAGCGTGACCTGATTTCCAACGGTTAAGTCTTGTCTGTGACGTCACCATGAAGAATTTTACTGTTGCATGTAGAAGTTACACTTTTGTGGTTTGATGAATATCGTAAATTAGGCGGGGTTCTGGTATCTTATATCTAAGAAGAATGTAAAGGGTGAAAAGGTACAATGTAATAATGACAAGATCAACTTTAAAAGTTAAATCATATAATTTAGGTCAGAACGCTTAATGAACTAAAAGATGGTAGGCTCCACAGTTGAGGTAGAGAACCGAATCTTCCTTTTCGGGAGAAGACCACATCGTTGCACTTGAAGATACTGGCAGACATTTTGGCTACAGATTTTTGGAAATCGACTGAAATCAGTTGCAGGTTACAATTTAGATACAATCCAAAGACACAGTCTTCTCTAGAAGACCAAGTTTTGACTTAATTATAGTCAAAACGACCAATTACATTATGGTATGTTTTAAACGCTCATGTGTGACTTTCAAAGGAGAATTTTGATTTTTTTCTACTGTCTTAATTTTTGCGAATTTCTCTCAAACTGCTTGTGACATTTTGATGGACTTTTCATTGAACAAGTTAACCCATTGTTGTTTGCAAATCTGCTCCAATCATATCGTGCAAAGAAGAAATCTTACATATCTTGATGGTAATTTTCAAAGTATAATTGTTGCCAAATCCATTAGTCATTAGTTCATCCAGGTTTCCCATTTCTCCAACTCAATTAAGCGGACTCATAATATATCACAGCTACCAGAACCAGAGCGAGATTTGAACCAGTGACCTTCACAGGAGTTGCCCCGAATGCCTCTGCATCATAAATCGACCAGCGTCATTACTTTGAACATCGCCGACACGAAATGAACCTGTCAAGACGTCAAAATCTGAAACAAACCTACATATGAGTTGTGTAATATAATTTACTACTGTCATATCACTCTGTTTTGTAATTCATTTTACCAGTGTTGAATTTATACTGAAATATGCTGTGCTGGTCTCGAACGAATCATCTTCTATCTGACCGTTTCATTTAGGAATAGATTGTTTAATCGGTAGGTATTTTTCAATTATGACTTAACAACTTGTATGGGTGGTAGATATTTGATTGGTAGCTAGATGCATTATTTTTAAAATCCTACCTAAATAGCCCTCCAACAACTATTTTACAAACCTTGGCAAAAATGTTTGTTGAAAAAACTCCAAGGTTTATTTTATAGTGTTTGTACAGCATTTATCGGCTATCATGACTGGGTAGTGCTCTCCTACACTTAGAGGGTCAACGGTTCGATCCTGCGAAAAGTCAGTAGCTTTTTGAAGGTTCGAAACTGGACCCAGCTGTCCCTGATCATTGGGCTTTGAAATGATCCTGGCTAATGAAACAGCTGATCTTAACCAGTAACAAATCTACACATACACATATTCACAACAATCTATACTCATACTTCACTCATGTTTTTGGTTAAAGTACGCACCTAGGATGCGTCCTCTTCTCAATTGGTAACGGTATTGGTAATGATACATAATAAACATAAGCTTAAAGTGTCTACGTCTTCCACAGTCAAAGATTCTAGATTCACTGCATTCGAATTTTATATAAAGCTAAGAGTTCACTCAGAATATGTCACGGTGAAGTGGCATAGATATTTCAACTAAATACAGAAAATAATAACTGAACAAGAAGTTGTTAAAGCTTAGTTACCACTTCTTACTTAATTGTAGACAAACTTCCCAAACCAATGTTCATACTTTTGGGAGGAAATACACACCACCGCATAGACCACCACGAAATAATTCATACAGGTAATTAGTCAAACCACTTAATCTTCTAATACCACAATCATGCATAGCATCTCCCACGTTCGCGAATTTCAGACACCCATATATTACAGGTCCGAAAGCGAATTTTTAATACCACCCTGCAGGGATTTCCAACCGTTTTAATTGTGGCCGACATTTTGGACGCCAACAATGAAAGATTGCCCAAGTTTTTGCAGCTCGATGTTCGTTTAAGGCGTGTGCTCTAATTAATAAGCTCTAATGAAACCGTTTCAAATCTAGCTCAAGGTTTCTGTACAACTCGTGTGTTTTCCCGCTCGTGTAGGAGATTCCAGGATAGAAGTGTGTGAGGATAAAAAATTTAAGCTGCAAGATTTATATTTCCGTTTGATGTACCTTTTGGGTAGACTTCCGTATCTGTTGGCACAAACAACCGAATGAAAATATCGATCAATATATTATTCAATATATCGTTAATTCGAAGTAAGGTTAACCTAACCTAACTTACCAAACGATATATCGAATGAAACTATCGAATCAATATTTTCATTCGGTTGTTTGTGCCAACAGATACGGAAGTCTACCCTTAACCTATATGCTTGTTCTATAGCATTATGGCCAAATAGTAAAGGCGCATAGAAGAAAGGTAACTTTTCTGTGGTAAAGCACAGACAATTCACCTTAATGAAAACATTTAGATTTTGTAACACTAGAGCGTTTAAACGTCACCAATACGAAGCACGCTTTGAGGCTACAAATTGTACAGTTGGAAGTCTTGTACCAATCAAAGTCAAAGATAAAGAGTCTCTTAACTTTATCAAGAATGATAGTTATTGGAAAATAGTTAATTAATGTCAACAATTCATACCACACTTACGAACCCGTGTAAGTGTATTGCAAAGTTTTTAATAATAAATTAATTTATACAATGTTTAAAGTGTCTAATTCTATCTTTGATAAGCCCACTCAGTCACTCAGTCGCTTGAGAAGATTACAAAATAAGTATGACAGTATAGTGTACGTTGACAAGTATACCATTACAATCGTCACAAAAAGAAATTATTATTTAAGGAGAAAATCAGAGTATGCCTACTTAGAATAAAGTTTTGTATCAGGCTCAATTAGTAGGGACCAAATTATATTTGTTATGGAGAGATTTTACCTTGAAGTATTCTCCTCAAGTTGTTAGTAACAAAGCTATCATCCTACTCAATCCACAACTTCTATCCCTGACGGTTTAATTCTACTAATTACCATTTGCTTTAAGCAATAAGAATTTATGAAACAAGATATTGTTTTAACAACAGTAAAAACGTCAATCTTTCAGGCATGAAAGTTTATTTTGTTGAAGAACCATTTTCATCCTTTTTTACTCATTCGTTTGAACTATCCTTTCGCCGCGAACCATTATTTTAGTTCGAATTATCCTTTAACGTCTTTGAAATCGCAATATTTATTTCTGATTCGTCATTTAAAAAAAAATATCGTCAGGTAAACCAATAAGTGACATTATACGGGGTGCATAGTGAGCGAAAGAGAGAAGATACGTAGATGCAGTGTGTAAGAGAGAGACAGAGAGCGGCCACTGATACCTGGACGACCTTGCTGCTTTCTTTACGTAATTTCATTCATTGACCAGAGCGGGGTCAGCCAAGGTCATTAACCCTGCTCTGGTACTTTTCCTACTTTTGCATGCATTTTTATCGATATATTTCCATGTTAGAGTAATTTATCTTTTCTTTGTATGACCGTGTGTCTCATCTTGAACGTATGTTTGGCATTTATTTAAAAATACAAATTCCACAAACGCTCTATCCTTTGATCCTTTGACCATAGATACAATTTTGACCACAGTATAGCTCCAATTTCTTCGGAAAAAGACTAAGAAGAAGACATCAATAAATTCTAAACTCGAAATACACGGTTCAGATAAAATTTCAATATAGTGGCTTACTCTTTACGTCCAACTTGCAGCCACATTCCCACACCCCGAATTCCCAGCTGTGAAGGAATTCTGGGTACTGACAGTTTCCATTGTTGCAGTGTATCGGTCACGTGAGTGGATGTCACATCAACCCAGCTGTTACTTGTGGACTCCTAGTGACTGGACACATCAGCATCCTCAAAGGAGCTTTCTACATCATCGTGCAATGCATCGGCGCCATTGGAGGATCCGCTATTCTGAAGGTAGGCAAGTGGTTGTCAACCTAAAGTGGTTTGAAGATTTTAAATCTTTTGAAGATTGATGTTGACGAGTAAATTTTGCTGGAAGGAAATGTGTAATTTTTTTCTTTGATTAAAGGACTGGATGATCTCTAGTCATTTATAGATAGTGTTTTACAATATTCCTTGTTTTTCAGTTCCGTTTGGAACTTTGTTTTAAATAAGAAGGGATAATGTTGATTATCTTCTTCAATAACTACCTACCAAGAAGACCTTTCATTGCCAAGTTATTCTGAACTCACCCAATTTAAAGTAACTCTCTTCCTCACAATTTCAGTTCTCAGCCTATTAGTGTAGTTCACGTAACACAGAGCAATTTAAAATCGGATAATTAGCTTTTAATTCTTGTAAGTTTAGTCATCATGATATGTAGGAATTTCATTGAATCATGCTCTTAGAGGGGTGGAATGAGATTCCTTTGTAGTTTTGTTACTGACTTACATCAGATGCTTGAACCTATTTTTTAATCCCGATATCCAAGGTTAACTGGGTCCAGTTTTGAACCATCAAATACTATACGCTGGAACCGGCTATCTTTAATTACTTGCACTGTAACCCCAGGTGCCAAGCTCATTTTCTCCAAATATATTATTTCTTTCAAGATGCATTCAATATTATTACACATCCTTTAAATTTAAACCCTTTTCTCAGTGGGATTTTCATGATAAGTGTGATAGGGTAAGTAGAGAAGAAGATCGATCGCTTGTAGGGTCAAAGTATTGTGGAAATTTGTTCTTCGGCTGTTTAATTGATGAAAATATTGGCCGGAAATTTTAGATTCGTTGAAGTAATCTATCTTCAGTACAAGCTAAATTTCAATGGATGAAGATGTAACTTGAATTTGAAGTTGAAGCGTTTCCTAAGGTTGGAGATTCTTTTTCCCGTAGGGTAAAGCAGCAAGTGTTTATCAAATGACACAGGTTTCTGCTAGTGAGTGATCAGATAGGGAATTCATGAAGATTGTGTTTTATCTTTTAGAAGTTCAACGTGTCTTTGAACTGCTAGAACACTGGCTGACCTTTCGGATTGGTTGCAACAATCGATCTTTGGGGCAAGCTAAATGCTCCACAAACTGATTGCTGCAATGCATCTGGAACGTCTGAGTATTTTTGCTGTTCAACACGGTCATCTTCCATAGCCCAAGATTCGAGAACAAAAATCTTGTTTACTTCTAAGACACAGAGAGTTTCTCAGGTGACAAAGTAAAAAACCATTATCCAACAACTTATCCGATGTTTCTACAGGTGATCACTCCACCCGCTCAACAAGGCACCTTGTGCATGACCGAGGTCAACTCCGCCGCCGGTCTGGACGCCACCCAGGGCTTCATCACCGAAGCTGTCATCACGTTTGTGCTCGTGCTCACCGTCCAGGCCGTCTGTGACTCCCGCAGGAAGGATCTTGGCAACGCCGCGCCCGTCGCTATTGGTCTGGCCATCACCACCTGTCATCTAGCCGCGGTGAGTTCCACAGCACCTAATATTATTTCAAATAAGACCAAAGATTGATTCTCATAAGACCAAAGATTGTTTCCCATAAGGCAGAATAAGACCAAAGTCCCATAAGACCGAATTGTCTTTGGATTCAGCCACAGGCCAGGGAAATGATTCAGCTAAGCTAACTGAGAGTGGCAATTTGATAAACAAAACACGACCATCTTAGCATTCTCTATGACTTTAAGGTTTTTCATGAAGATCTTTTGATTCCTTCTCGAAGCCCGGGGAGTTGCAAATTGCTAAAGACCAAGCAAGTTATAACTTGGCTTATTTATTATTGAAGGGTGGGAGCAGAATTGAGAGATATGACCTTCGTGGATTTGTTATTGACGAAGCTGCTGCTTCAGCCTAAATGTTAACATTTTCTGAAGATCCCCTCATTAGTCAAGCTCAAGTACTTGTAAATTGTTATAACATTCTATTCTATCAGAAAGTGGCGAACATTGGATGCGTATTTAAGCTGAATATGAATGGTTTGGTAGAATGGGCTAAAACAACCTTTGTAGGTTTATTACTGATGTTCACATTAGTATTTTCATATATAGTTACTATTTTAAATTTTTTCTGACATTTTTGTCGTTCTCTAGATCAAGTACACCGGCGCCAGCATGAACCCTGCGAGGTCATTCGGCCCCGCTGTCATTGGAAACCACTGGGACAACCACTGGGTAAGATTAGAATTATGCCTAACCTAACCTGCAACCTAGCCAATTCAACAACTACTCCCAAACAGCACTGACCTATGCTAACCTTTTATTACAGCTACATGACATCGAATTGTTAAGCCGACGAATTTCCATGTATGTTTTACCTATATCGGCCAGTATAACAGTATGTGAGAATATATTACCTACCCTATCTGACTAAAAATAAAATAATTCTCGCTATCACCATCAAGTTGTCAAGCAATCAGTCAAAACTATAATGTAAATTTATAAAAATTAACAATTGTACATACATAAGTTTGACATACCTTTACATGTAATATTTGTCTTCCTTAGACCGATTTCATAAACCTCGTGTTTACTAATACTAGAGGTCGTCCAGTGGTCGAAAAATCTGCCAAACATATGTGATGTACAGACTTCTCTACTTCGCCCCATACTGTAAATAAAACATGTAATTAGTATTTCTTCCATTTGTTTTGATTTTCTGTTTATATTTCGTTGTTATTTCGTCACCAGCATAGCAACCCATAAGGCCCATGTTATTTTTTTATTTTCAATTTATTTTATGTGGCGATTGTTGAGCATATTTTAATTTATAAAAGGATTCTGCACATCTGCAGGAAAATATCTTTTTAAGAGTAGGCCCTATGTGTAGTTTTCCTCTGTGATGCACACGAGCTGAGAAAAAAGGTTTTAAAGAAACATGCTTGCCTATTAATATATAGATTCTATCCTCTAAGACTTTTTGTATGTGACTGATAAAACTTATTGATTGACATTTTTATGTTCTCACATGGGTTTAGGCCTGATAACCAATGTGAGGTAGCATAAAGTAGTAGACACAGTTGTCTACTCCTTTAATCTAGGCTGGTAGGAAACCCTTGGTTTAATGCTAACAAATGATAACAATTGTAACATCTTTTGATTATACAGGGCGTTTATAAAAGAATCATCAGGTTTTAAAACATTTTATTGACGTTAATGTTAAACAAATATGGCTATAAAATATATCAACAGAAAGGAGAACTCTTAAATTTTTCATAGATACCCCTATAAGTGCTAGATGCGCCGTCCATTAGCCGTGGAGCAAGTTTCCAATCTATGTTGTAAATCGTCCCATACACCGGCTAGCATCGCAAGGTTCATTGATTCTACAGCATTGTGAATTCGTCCACGGAGCTCTTGAAGTGTTTGAGTCATTGGCATTATAAAAACGTTGTAAAAAATCACACAACGAAAGATCAGAAGATCTACGGGGCCATTTGAGAAGGGTCAAGTCATTATCGTTAAATCTGCCAATCCACCTCAGTTTCTAAGAGAACTCTTGCGCGACTTCTACTTTTACTTTTCAATACACCTCCAGAGTTCTTAAACTGGCGATACCACCTTACCACCTTAAAATGCTTTAGTGTGTCTGTCTAAAATGACTCCGAAACTCACGCTGGACGGTTATTAAAAATGCACTTAAGTCAATGAAAAACACAGATTTTTGTTCTTGAGTTGTAATTATTTTGCAAACATGCAAACACGTCCAATAAAAAACCAAGACTGATTATTGAACAGCTGATTATAAAACTTGGAAACATGCTTTTTAAGCACATGTTTCTAATATTAATGTGAAACAAGAATTGGGTGAGGTACATGCCATTAAAACTTGATGATTCTTTTATAAACGCCCTGTATTTGTACATGTTTTAGTACACGTCAATTTATCCAAATGTGTCGTAAGACTTTTATTATATTGTATGTGTAAACAACATACCTTGACGCTGACATAACTTGACGCTGACATACCTTGACGCATTACTGTTCCAGGTCTACTGGGTGGGCCCAATCCTAGGCGGGGTCGTGGCTGGAGTTGTCTACAAGGCACTCTTCAGGGCTAGGAAGGCCGACGAGGAAGCCAGCTCTTACGACTTTTAAACTCTTCGAATTTCTCCCTCTTCTGGGAGCCTCTATCCCACAACGCCATCGTCACTGCTTTGAAATCAGTTTTTTCTCACACCAACTCTGCAAATAGAAAATAGCTATTGTAAGACGTTCACTTGTTTTCAAGACAGGGAAATGGAATTAAGTTACTTTAAGTTCAAACTTTGAATATTTGTTGAAAATCAAGGAGGATTTAAAATTGACACCTCCGTGAATGACCCTAAAGTCTTTTCAATTTATTTTCGTAAAATTATATAACAATTTAAACCATTTTTTTCTATTATATTAAAATTTACAATATAAATTTATTACTGCACTGGTTCAAATAAAAAAACGTGACAAAAGCGTATTCATATTGAATTGTATTTATTCTTTCATTATTCAATGTAAGATACTATATGGTTACTCAATTAAAATCATTTGCAAAATCAATTAAATTCGAAATTTTGGATTTGTAATATTTGTTGTAAATTTATTTTCTTAACTGTAAAAGTAATGAGCATGAACTTATTAATTTACAAATATACATCATAGGTAAAAAAAATACAGTATTAAATTATTTTGGTGTCTGAAACAACCACAATTTGAGTTGAATAATTTAAATCCTTTCCCTGCACAAACTAATTACGATGTTAAAATGTTCTTTTTATTCCACTCCTTTTTATCCAAGCTTTGTCATATACGACTCATTTAATATTAACCCACAAGAATTAGCTTAATTTATCTTTTAGCTGCATAGTAAAATTATTCAAACTGATTTCGTTTGCTTGACGAGAGTTTTATGTTTAAGATTTTTATTGTATATTTCTCATGTGCCTTTATCTGTATGTTCGAATTAACTGCATTCAGAGTTAAGTACCTTTCACAACAAGAGTTTCATTGCAAGCCTTCATTTAGAATAAAGACCAGTATAGTTGTAAGTATTTACCAAAGAACTGCAAAATTGTCAGTATACACACGTAAATGACTTGAAACAGTAAGCAATAAGTGCATTTATTTTGTTTATTTAGTGTAATTTATTATTTGTAAATATAGTTTTAATACGAGCTTCACCTATTTCATGTTTAATTTGAGTTAAATTACATGCTAGATAAGTTTAGATGTTAAGCTCTTCTACCTTGGTACTATTTTGGTGTCAAGAATAAAAAGATAAATGTAAAATACTGTTTTATTTCAACCTTTTTAGTCCAAGATTTGTTTGTATTTTGTATGAGATTTTCAAAAAGTGCCAGTTCGCTAGTCGCCGATAGGTGTCACCGACTAATGAAATAAAAGACTTTTGTTACCCTTGTCTGTTACCCATCTCATTCTTCCAAAGGAAGATATATCATATAACACTAATAATAACTCCGATGACTTAAGGTATGGGAAATATTTTAGTCATTGAATGATCAACCAAATTTGGCAACTAACGCAATTCAAATCATTATAGTTTTTACACTTATTACTCTTTAAACAATGCTAAATGCTCAAAATATGTATATTTCACCCAATTTATCACAGTTAGATGAATTAACGTAAGCCTTGAAAGTAACCGTCGATTTCGACGGGTTTCACCTAGTGGTGTCAGCTGAATTTTAAAACGTTTTTATTAGCTCACTTTCTTGTCCGGTAAAAATTTTGCAATCAATTTTATACTAACTTCCCGATGAGCTAGTGACTTGAAACTTGAAACATAGCTCACAAATAGAAGACAATGCAATATTATATCATTTAATTTTCATATTTCCCTTGGGCTAGTTTTCATTAACTCGCTATCTTGCAAATTTTGATAGGTACTTCCCGATGAGCTAGAGACTTGAAACTTGAAACATAGCTCACAAATGGAAGACAATGCAATATTATATCATTTAATTTTCATATTTCCCTGGGGCTACGCCCCATGGGCTTCCAAATTTTCCATGTTTACATTTTGAAAGAATGTAAATATATCGATTAATTTAAGTCAGCTGTAAATACTTAAATTTGACAGTTCGAAGAGCAGAGGTTACTTTTTAGTGCGTTTAAAAACGTTTTGATTTAAAAAAGGTTTTTAGTTATAAATTATTTACAGTATTCCAGAATTAGTTTTGCCAAGTGTTATTTGAAGGCTTCTGATTGGCTGAGGGAACACCATTTACCGCATTGATATGTCTCAGTGTCATCTGCCTCGGTGGAGTAGTGGTTAAAGTGGCGGGCTGATTAACCACTGGAGCAGGGTTCGAATCTCACCCATGGCAAATTTTTTTTGTCTTTGATTTTTTCATTTTCAGCAAGTTTGGTTTGGCTTGGTTTGGTTATGACAATTTAATTTTATAATTAAAACTTTATAAAATTGAAATTGAGCCATTTATAGTATTATTTTATGAACAGAACTATTTTTTCGATTATAACCCTTCATTAGTTTTTTCGTTATCAGCAAGTCTGGATAGTTTGGTTACGTTAGGACAGTTTATATAAAAACACACAACAACAATTTTATTTTATAAAAAAAAATGAATTTGAGGCATTTATAATTATATTTTATGAACAGAACAATTTTTTCGATTAATAAACTTTCATTGGATTTTTTTCATAATCAGCACGTTTTGTTGGTTTGGTTAGTTTATGACAGTTTCATTTCATAATAAACAATTATAAAATTGAATTTGAGGCATTTATAATTTTATTTAATGAACAAAACTAATTTTTCAATTAGTAAACCTTCATTATTGTCAATCAGAAGCCTCCAAATGACACTGTTGGCAAAACTAATCCTGAATAACAAATTGTGCGTGGTGTCACTAACCAAAGTGGGCCGCAGTTCGTCTAGTATCCGCTAGGTGCCTCTAGCCACAGTGCGCCGTAGTTTGTCTACTTACCGCTAGATGTCACCAAATTATGTAACGTAGAAGTTTATTAGTTTATTGGTAATTTCAAATTATTCTGGGAAAATAAACCAATATAGTCTAGACTTTAACAAAACTACCATTGATGAATTGAAAACTAATGGTTTATTTTGCGATTTAAAGCCTTGGTAGTTTATTATGAGTCCTCGGTATCCGTTGACACTCGCAGGGATCTTTGAGTAGCTAGAACATGACTACCGCGCTTGGCCGAACGAATAGCGCTTATATATTTTCTAGTGGCTTGTAGGGGCAGTAGCCCCTATGTATATATTGTAGTAATTATTTTGTACAAATTATTAGTCCCATGGGTTACCCTACCTTGATTATCGTTTAACATTATTGTATATTATAATATGTATAATAGTTATTACATACCTGCATAATGCATTTTGAGGTCTGCTCTGTTAAAAAATAAAAATTACAAAGGATTTTTCATGCGGTGTGTTTATAGTATAAACTTTCTAATCATAATACAACTAAGGATAATTTTCAATGATAATCTTCATGACTATTAATTAAATGTATATACATTTCTTTGAATATAGACAAATTCACTTAGATAAAATACATGGAGATAAATTTTTCAAATAAATGCCAATTTTTGTGAAAATTTTCCTTGTAAACTTGAACGGCATATTAGGATCTGTGGATATTAGTATTATTTTTGGCATGGAAAATACGTTTCCTTTGCCTACTCCAGTAATTACTACTAACTTTACACTTTTTCCAGTAATACCTAACACAACCAATCGTACTCCATTAACTAATCCAGACCCTAGCTTCATATTTCTAATGAGCATCACTATTGAACCAACTTTTAAAACTAATTTGTGTGGTGGCATTCCAGATCGTGCAATTAAATTAATATAGTCAATTGGTAGGTTCAACCTCTCTTAAGGGTTAGTATACATATTACAGTGCATATTACATATTACCATATGCTTTAAATAAAGTTAAACCACATGTTTTAATGTAAACAAAGCAAACATGACCTAGATTCCCATGTTATTTAAATATGAATTATTTTATTCTGTCACAACCTTTTGGTGCATAATTAAGAAAAATGAATAATTTTCCCCAAAATTTCATGCCCAGACCTTTAAAATGAGACCCCTCCCAGCTTTCTACGCCCTCCGGTTCGCTCACAATTTCATTGTAAAATTTTGGGCTTACGAATTAGATATATAGATGGAAACAGAATAATGTAAACTATTTGAAAAGCCGAGAGTCGTGTCTCTAGCCCGAGCGAGACCGATGATTGGCTTATAATAACCATAAAAACCAATACACCTCAGTTAAGACCATTGGGACTGCGAGCTTAGGCTTGGCAGTGCCCTCGCCGATTTTCTTCTATCGTAGTGTGATCGTAGGCGTAGGTCAATTCATACACTATCTATATCTATAAAAAGCTAAAATATTTTGTGATGTTTGTACCGTTTGATTTAAATGTTAGGCTACACTTGGTCTTGTGATCGTTGGGCTACACAAAGGTATCGACTACATTAATGGGCAATATCTTTTCATACAGCAGCTCAATGGAACGCAAAATTAATTCTTCTCATGCGTTCTCTTCCCGTTGCAAAGCACGGGTATGGCGGCTAGTAATATCAATCAATTTTAAGTTTCTATTCTAGTATTTAAGTTTCTGGTAAAATATTTTTTTTTCTATCAAAAAATCATAGAATTGTTTAGATAATGGGAATGAGTCACAGATAAGAGTGAGGAAAATGACTACAGTGACTATAGTGGCTAAGTTTTAAGTAAGTAATTTAAAATACACGGAAAAGTTTCCGATTTAACGTTTACCGTAAAATTATAATTTTTGTGTCGCCTCAATGGTAATCTCATGATACAAGATGTTTCAAGACCTTTTAAGAAACCTAATCCCATCCTTCCCTCAAGTTAAAGACCACATGTTTTAATTCCCGTTTAAGGGGATTCACCACTGAAAAAATACCTTTTTTGAAATACACAATAACAATGCTAGTACACAATAACTATTTATTCTAGTGTGTAGTGAGCTAACAAAAAAAATGTGAAACGGCCAAAAAGTTGTCACATACAACCTACAGGAATAAAAACTGGTTTTTGCACGTTTAAACCATATTTCAAAATGATATATTTAAGAAACTATTCAACATATTGCACTGCTCATGGTCTAATTTTGAAAATAATGATATAATCTAAATATTTAGGTGGATTTATCATGGTAGTATTAGTGGCTTATAAAAAATCGTAGAGTAAACTTTAGACTTTTTTTTAAAAAGACATGCATATATATAAAATTATGTGTCTAAGCAACATAAATACCTAAAAGTCTAATTCTACCTAAATATTTAGTAAAAGATCTACTAAATATGTGGTGAAAATATGAACTCTCTTTATCATTTGGTTCTCAAGATATTTTTGTCAGAAAATTTTTTGAAATTCAAACTTTCGGAAAAACGCGTTTGAAAGTAAAAATGTGAAATTTCGGACATTGACGTGTATGCAAAAAATGTAATTTTTTATACTTAGGGTTAAGATATTAGGTATCAGGGTTCTATATTTTTTTCAGTAGGTTCCAAATGACATAATTAGGCAAAAAGACTGGTGTCCAGTGAGATGTTGCCTCAGAGAAAATAAACGATTCCATCGTACAAATGTCAGAGCAAATTGTGCAAATCAGCGAATCAAAGCTGAGAAATCTGTTTTAGTCGTTGGCCTTGAACTTTGTGGGTAACTTGGAATCATATGTCTGAAGTAATGCGAAGTGGTTGTGTGTGACAGTAATATTCCAAAGAGTAGTGGTTCCTGTTGAGAACTGTTTTCATGCTCTGTGAATACATATTTGTAATTTTGGAAATATAGGTTACCTACGGATACAATATACGTATCTTTACCGTAGACCTCATTGGTACGACCTCAGTCCAGGGCAACGTAGTACTCAATTTGTCAGCAAAAACAGAAGATTTGATTACCCAAGAAAGTTAAAACCATTCACTTACCATACACACTTAGATAAATGTGTATATTGCCTAAACTATTAAGATTCCTGCAATATTATCCCCAGTAGAGACGATTATCTATTTTATTATTCAGTGTTGTAATTTAATTTAATTTAACGTAATCCCCTCTGTGTTGTTTTACTGTCCAGTCTTAACACTATAATCCCAAAAACTAGCTAAAAATATTGGAGTGTAAAGGAACAATCATACAATAAATAAAGAAAAACTACCTTTAAAGATTAGTGTAACATTTACTTAAAATTTAATTGTTACAAATAAATCGGCCAG